CCCCCCCCGGCCCCCCCCCCCCCACATTGCGATGCTTGGTTCGCCACACGCGTGGTTTGCTTGGTTCTAACATATATTTACTTATTTTGAACAACACTCCAGCCCCTTTGGTTCCAGCGTGCGATTCGTCTTTTTTGTCTCATGGGGCGCATGTATCTCGTGGTTTCCTTAAGCAATGTGCCTCGGCTGTTGAGGGCGACAAGATATCTCGAAGCGCTTTTCGAGCGAAAGATTGTTGTACCGATAGGCGTTTGCCACATAGATGGGTTTGCACTACCGGCGTGGTATACACCCTGGAAAGCTGCTAGGTACGGACATTGCTAGCTCGCCCCACGCTTGGCAGTGCAAGCACAACAGAGCGGGCAATAATGTCCGCCCACTTCCCGTCATAGACGGGCGGTGTGCCCTGCACTACTTTCGGCGTACAGGGCGATCGAACCATGCGGTGATCGAACAAGGGGAGGGGGCATGCAATCCTCGTGCAGCAATACGCCTTTCGTGTGCCCCAGTTGGTTGACCTGAGCCACGCGCGTCTGTCAACGCATTCTTCCGAAGGCAGCAACCAACAACAGCGTCTACTTTGAAGTTTACGTTTATGTATGTGTACCCTACAACGCTCAGTAAACACTGAAATAATAGCTCACCTTTGCTGCACCTTCATATGGGGCACATGTTCTATCGTTGTACTTGGGGCCCCCTCCCCAAGAAACGATACCCGATGGACAAACCTGTATTCCTTCACTCAGCCGCACCCCTATGTATTGATAGATGCTGTTCACTCGTCTGCTACTTTTTTTTGTAGCGTGTATCCCTCCACTTTGTTCGCACACCCTCATGGGGGGCTCCAGACCAGCGAACATCCCGCCGCTCGTGTAAAAATTTCGCCGTGCTGTTCTTGTGTGCCCTTTGGTATGGTCCCGGCAACAACAGGCACGGCCAATCGCAACAAGGACGTTTGCACAATTTGGACCGATGAAAATTGGTACCATTTGGTCAACTCCACGGCTCATGACAGCAAGACGTGTCACAAACTTGCGCTGATGATTGGTACCGTTTGGTTTCCTTCCCCGCCCACCCACCGCTGTCTCGCTTGCTCCCCTCTCTGGTTTGCGAACCCCGTGTAGTCCCTTGATACTCCTATGACATGCTTATTTTTGGTGCTTGCTGAACCGGTGCCACCCCCCCCCCCCCCCCCC